TTATCAACAGTCTACATGGTACCATGTAGACTGTTGATAAGCGTATATGCATAATGGCATTACAGTCTCCCTATGCTCCGATCAATTGATCATGGGAACAGTACTCGGCAGGCAGCCTTTTGTAGGGTCTTATACGTAATACTATTCGCCTTAAGTTGTCCTTCTAGGTTTCAAAAAGAAGTAGACAGCGAAAATGGTGTTGAATGACGCGCACGAGGTTATCAAGAGGTAATCAAACCTATCATCCATATCACGCTTCACTGACTGGACGTGAAACCAATCAGTCCAATCCGAATTCCTCATGACACCCTTGTATATCGGAACAGGTTGCAGACAATAATTCAGTAGTCCGTAGTTGACGACGCAGTCTGGTAGACTAACTGCGATAAACCCATAACGTGGGACTGATTTCACGTAGGGAAAATTGCCTCTGGGGTTTGTGTAGATGAAATCTTGTCAATATTACGCGCTGGATCAGTATCGCACGAACCAGATGAACCACTGGGTTTGTAGAGCTGATGTTCAATGACTCACATGAAGATCCAAGCATTGAGGAAAGAACGCAGCCAAAGAATGATTATCGGTGTGCCACATTGATTATTAAATGTAACAGTAAGTAAATGGTGACACATCAGTGAAACTTACATTCGGACCCGTAAATAGGGGAAAACATTGTTTAGAATCTGTGCGAGGAATGTAGAGACACGCTCCTTTTCCTCACTTCGATAGACCACATCCAAAAAGCAAGCCATGTGCTATGCGACAGGAGGAATAAAACAAAAGAGAATAATTTGAGCAGTAGAAAATGGAGTGCCTAAGAAATTAACGGATATTCAACACAAATGCCGAGAATATTAAAGCCTGAGTTTTATTATGGGCGATTTAACAAAGCTGAAGTCTATCATGCCCCACAGGAAACAAAATTTCATCCATGTTCAGAAGCATCGATGTATCACGATTCAAGATCATTTCTCCCCAGTGAATGGGTTCACATAGTGTTTTAGTGGACCATTTCAAGCAGTTAGTTTTCAGCGGCCAGAGTAGTCGACAGTCGCGATAACAAAGGTGTTCGGATTACATCGACGCAACATACATGTCCCCAGATAAACTTGTTCAGTCTGGAACGATTGCGGACACAAATTGTGATTCCAAGATCAGATACAATCAGATCGATCTGTATCAGTATGAACCCTGTTTTGGTAACCTGAGGTAGGGTTCACGACGTCTGAGGTTGGAAAAAAGGGGGGGGGGACACGAACTTTTATTATGTACTATTGTGTAATGAATCACCTAACTACTGCTTACTCAGGCTTGACCGGAAACGCAACGTGTGCTGGAGAACGAAACACAGTAGGTAAAAGTGGGAGCCACACTCAACCGGAACGCACAGATACACTCAATCGACTGAGAAGTGTACAAGATGTAATCAAATGACCCAATATTTGATGAACAGTTCATAGTTGACCTTCATTCGAAGGCTGTACATTTTATCGTCTCCCAAGATGTGTGCAGCCTTCAGTGACAAATGGATTGCTAGAGCGAAAGATATCTTTATCACAGCGGAGGAATCGCCGTCTGGCCTCATCATTTTAATGGTCACTGTGCTCATATTATTTCTTCTTCATCAGATTCACTCCAAAGTCACTGTTTTTCATAGCTTTTCGTAATTCGATGTAATTGATGTTTCTTCTAAACTTGGTTTGAGTGGTTAAACATTATTTGACTCACGAGCACCAAGGTCGGCTCTCCTGCCCAATTTGAAGCCAAGTAGTCATTTTGAATATTTCGAGTCGAATCGATACATTCGATAAGGACATATAAGCAAGCTTACGAAGATTTCACAGACCTTTCTCGTTTTGAGTCAAACATTTTTTCAATCTGTGTAGTACGACTGCACAAAACCATTTCATGTTGCAGCGGCATCCTGGACGATCAAAAAATTGCATCTAGGCGATTCAGGTTGTGAAAGACAAGTTACAGCGAGTATTGAGATCGAAAGGAAAAAGAAGCGGCGGAGTATGACTTGATGAATCCGCTTATTCATAATACAGATAGAAGACGGAAACAACTGCTACGTTGAGGCTAGAGCGCCACTCAAGGCCACTCGATGAGCGGCTTCAATGCATTACTGCCGGACAGCATTACGTCACCCTCATCCTCGCTTTTCACCTCACCTCACCTCACCGCCTGATCCACAGAGCTCCAAATCCCGGATACGTCCTCAAGGTCATTAAGAGTGAAGTGACCATATGACAGGGTGTTACATGATCGTAGCTTACACTCGTGTGTCAACAACTGACAAACGACGGTTGCCAGTAGTCATGCCAAATACTCGGGATGCTTATCGTAACCGGTTTAAAACAGAGTAAGGTAAGTAAATTTCATGCTCTTGTCGCAATCGAAATTCTGATTTTGTTCCCCACATATCTTCATTATATTAATATTTATATTTTCACACGCATCTGAGTTCACACTGCGAGACAACAAAAAAGAAAAAAGGGACATAATTTGCTCAATGGCACGGTACTGCTAGGTTCCCTAGGCCAAAGAAAGTGGATTTTCTTGGGGAATTCACAACCAAAGCCTTTGGCTAGCCAAAGCCTGACCCGAAAAGAAGCGGGGCGGCGTGCGAAAACCGTAACCCATTGGAGGCCGGTGTTCAGTTCATCGGGTTATCCACCCTTCGGAAGGGGTCAAACGTCCAAGGTACCCAATCGAACCGATGACCACTGCCATAATCAGGAAGTTGTGTGTGGTTCGTACGCCCCCTCGTGGTTGGTTCGGAGTCAGGGTTTTGGGCCAATTCCCCTACCAGTGGTCCACCAACCCGGTTATAGCCCCGGATGTCGGCTTTTCGTTCACTCACTTTGGTGGGGAAAACCAATCCGCCACGAGAGGGCAATGAGTAGGGCATCCTCAGTGGACGCTTGGTCGCATGAGAGCTTTTTACAAGGCGCAAGGAAGTTAGAATAGCCGCTTCCCGAGACACCCACTCCGACAATACCGAGACTTTCGTTAAAATTAAGGATATTTTGATGAAATTTCGTGTTAAGATTTTTCATTCCGATTGCCGTTTAGATTGTCGAAAACGGTGACTGTTGATTCCATTCAACCCTGCACCCAAAACATTGTGTGACCCATTACACTCGTCCCCTCACGAACTAACGTAATCGAACTGCTCACTCGCACCCGTTTCTATTTGTCCGCCCATTACTGATAACTGTTCACTGTTCCATGATCAACTCACCACCGCACTCGTCCCATTCGACCCCCCCCCTCACACAAATGACTTGTCCGCATGTCTGATTGTATTGATTCTGTAACATGTCCACGTTCTAGACACACACACAAATAGACCCTGCAATTCCACAAACCGTCTGATTCATGTTTTACGAACGCACGCACTTGAACGACAATCGCACTGTGGTACTTGACCTTGAAATCACGACATTCGATCGACCTCGATTTGTCACTGGTCCCTCATATACATGTGCACGAACCTTGCCCGACTCATTGTTGTTATTGCTTGACACGGGACGTTTTGACCGTCTCGCTGGTTCCCGTTGTATTGACTTGATTTCACGGTTTTCCGGTGCGCTGTTTCGACCGGTTTGTCCCACAGTTTGAGGTTTGTTTACTGTACACTATCATTTATCTCCAAACTTGTGTTCCGGTACCGTAGTTTGATAAACCTATTTTGATACAAGGCATTTGGTCTTGTTGGTTTCACGCGTCACTCTACCGTGGATTATTTGATACCGTGGAATTAATAGTGACGATCCTGCCTATGAGGGCGAAAACAGTCAAAAACTCTAGGTCAGTTTACTACTTTTGTCGAAGGATGTATAAAAACATTCTCAACAGACGTAAACACATCTAAACCAACACCATGGTGAACTTCTGTGTTTTTGGCACATCGCTTAGTGATCAGACATAGCCAAAGTGAAGAATTTTTCTTCCGGTACATGCGTTAAGTGCGATTAGCGAATTTATTGAACTTCACGTTGGAAAGCAAACAAAAGAAGTAGAATCTCTCTTTGTTGCACAGTTCTCCTTATGAACATTAAGTTGCATTCAGTATGCCCTTTAGAGAAAGGAACCACAAATACGGTGTGGCATAACGATTTACACAAGTAAAAAATACTGTGCTGACCTAATAAATGTTCAACCTGGAGTTTTTATGCACGAACACGAAAGATTATGGATTCCTACTAGTAGCGGTGACGAATACACTGCAAAAGAAATTGTAAACCAAACGGATTGTGCCTCGCGTAGACGGGGAACAACTCAAGGTAGATTTTGTAAAAGAAGAAATACAAAGCTGTGAGGGTAATGGTCAGCAAAGAAACTCACTTCCGACAAAAGATCCATTGCCTGGACGGAAAAATCGCATCCTAATCGGAATCGGCGACTGGCTTCTGCCGCGACGAACAGGGCTAGAATGATGGAGATAAGAGGACGCTCCGTTAATACCCGGTTATTATACGTGAATTTATAGGCATGTGGGTGTAGTTGCATGAAAAACACGGCCTACCAGGTTTCGTCTCCTGTACTGTAGTAACCGGCGAACTTCGAAGGAGCGTTTTCTGTCCCTCCGTTGTGGTAGAATCTATCGTTCCAGTGGGAACGGTGGATGCAGAATTGACCAAATTACTTGAGGACATGGATCCCGAGAGAGTGGTCGCAGGGCGTGGATTCGTGGACGGTCGTGTCAAATCTAGTTCACTGGTTGGTGTCGAGCTTAATCCGTCTTCCTGCTGACGCACTTGAAGTGTTCGACGGAACCACGTTGGTTGTTCCAGGGCAGATGCGACGATTGTGGCGACGGATTCGAGCAAACGGTGGCACAGTTCCTGGGACCAATTGAAGATATTACCAATTCATGTTGAATGTTATGCATAAATGACAATTGCCTCTGCCATATCACATTTTACAAACTAATGCATTGGAAGAAAACATTTCGACACCGTCGGTTCCTCAACCGTTTGATTCAAAGAAAGTTTGATGGTCGCTAGATTCCTTTTCAGACAACAAACGGAGCAGTTGTGACAGGATCCAAGATTTAACTACTCACGAGTAGCATGATAAAGTGCCATAAATGAAAACTCGTGTAGACAATACAAATCAACAAAATTAATAACACTGGTTACAAAAGAGGTTAGGTATATTATGAAGACCTAAAGCACGATAAATGGCACAGTATACCATACCAAACAATTCTTTGGAATGATAGTGATTATCAAGATGGATTTACTATGAGTTCTACGGACCCTGTAGATGTGTAAAAAACAAAGGTTTCAGTGTGCGTGACCAAGTTCTTTTGAAAAAATGCGGTTCTGTGGAACCTACATCATGTCATAGAGACAGTGCACATTGCGTTTTCTTGTTATAGTGGAGTGCAAATTCCGGTCAAAAGCGGACCACGCTTGACCCGTCAATGCAGTTTCGGGTTTCACACCTTTTACCTCTACAACAGGCATCGAGCTCTGTTTCCATTTGAATAAGAGGTTACAAAAAACGGTTCACCAAGCTTTTGAACAAGTAGCGTGAGCAGTTTCAGTCTGAACAAACATTAGCCATGCACTTTTGTGCGCCGGTTTTGGTTGCCCACTTGGATGAATAGTAGAAAAAAAGCCATGAAGGTTGAACGTAGAATAGAAGGAAAATTGACAACTCCAGTAAACTATGGCTGCAAAGAAATTGAGATGCACGAACGCCACGGTTTACGATACTCAGCTATATAACCATCGGTTACGATCATCCCGAGCAGCTTAACCAACAACACAGACTGCCTTCCGTTGTTCTATTCCGACGGAATTTCATCGATACTCATCCTTCTCAGTAAAGGGACTGTTGCATTACTTTGGATTCAAATATTTCTACCATCTAATATTGTTACAAGCACGAAAACCGTTTGACTGCCGATTTCTTTTAATTGTAAACCAGTTTACCTATTAGGGCATGTGCTATAAATGCATAACGTGAACGGAGGTCGCTAAACTGAAGGAGAATATCTCGGCCAGCTCACTGTGGTGCGCTGGATTTTTTCATTTTAATAATGCTTCCACAAAACCATGAAATTTTGGAGGAAATAAACCAATTACAACCAGTGATTCAGGGTTAGCCCTAAATCGCAGGACTCTGAATATATCAGTTGTGATCAGGTTAGAAACAAAATTACAGTCATGGCTACCGTATTCGTAACCGCAGGCGGTATACGGAATACCGGATGGGAGTAGTACATCTGATTTGGTTGAGTGCTGTGACCCCTTGGGGCAATCCTCTTCCTATTTGGTCTCAACCATAAATAGAGGCTCAAAGAAAGCGAATCCGGTACCTGTGGCCATAACCGCGCAAACCGCTCGATAGACGGGCCAAACCAGGTTGGGGGTAACCGAAATCTAGGGGCTTCGGTGAGATGAGGCACTGAATGCGAAGACAGCTAAGTTTGAATGAGCGGACAAAATCTACCGCCTGATCCAACAGCTATAAAGAAAGCCTGACCACCCAAAAGAGATGCATGAAACCCTAGGTGGCAGTTACATCTACTAAATGGGGAATGAGCTACTAAAAGATTCATCGATACCCATGCGCCGACACATGATGCCTTGCAGCCCACAATTGTTTGGGTAAAAGGTAGAGGGCTGCCTTCAAAACAAACAAATGATGAGGGACGCTTGGAACATCTCTCGAACTAAGCTAGCATGAAGCTCCATGATCTCATGTAGTCGGCTAGTTCTCTTCAAGGAACCGGCCTTAGTAAACAATGTGAAGTAACCGTAGGCGGTGAAAAAAGTATAAAAAAATAATAAATTATGTGAATGAAACTATCAATAAGAGACTGAATGACAGACTATGAAGAGAAAAATGAATGACCTAGTGTAAAATGTCGATGATCATTACCTGAAGTTCCCGTTGTTCCCGTTTGTCCTCACTGATCGATGTCAGATTCAGGTACTCGTGGAAAATTCTGGAATATGTGTACAATACATAGTTGGAGGTAACTAAACCGAAAAATGCAAACAGAATTGGGTTCTCAAAATGAGGGGGAGAGATCGGTATTGAATGGAACTTAACTCAGACACTCGTTCTCTGTTTAAAAGTAACACCATCAGTGTAAATAATGCTTATTAATTGAAATGTAACCTACATCTTGCAAATAGTATCTAGAAAGCTCGAGGAAACAGTTGGTATACTGGAGAAAAGACAAGCCTTTAGGTGGAAGAAATAACAAACTGTCTACAAAAGCTGCTGAGACTGTATCGGATATCACAAGTCAGTTTCGACAGCCCTACTTGTGAATAAACTGGCACTTCTGGCCGTAAGATATTCTTTTTATGAGACAATGGCTACCACTTTTCATGCAGTGACTGGCAGGTAAGCAAAGCGGCGGGAAACTGTTCAATGCTTTTAGGCTTTTGTTGTACAATCCAATATGAGCGGAATGGGGGGCGTGTACATAGTGCTATTCCCGAAGAGCGNTTCGTGCCAAAATGTGGCCCGGGTTAAATAGCACTCGTTTATTTTCATCACCTCCGGCCCCAGCAGCCCAGAAAAGCGAACAAGGGTTGTATGACTAAATAACGAAAGAAAACGCTTTCTGGTTGTGCTACGAGAGATGCAATATGTTGCAGTTCAGGTAGGAATAAGGGAACAATGTGGATTATCCAGGTAGTTCATGACAGGTCATTGGAATCATTTCATGCACGGAGACCGCCAACACTGAAAAACTTCGCACGTGCCGAGTGTTACTGAATGCGATTAAGTGTTCGGAACAACAGTTGGCTCATGCAGTGATGGCTAATGTCAATGAACTTTGACGCTCAATCCCATAGGCAGTAAGACTAAACAGTTCACACATCGTAATAAATAGTCAATGCGAACGATACCCCCTGAGGCTTTATGATAAAGTAAGGATAATTGATATGTAACGGAACAGAGTTTCCGTGAGGAGAATCGCAACCATGTTAGATGTCAGACAAAACTAAGCTGACCATAAAAACTGGTTGCGGACACAGAACTTCAAGTGCATGACGCACACGGACAAGTTAATATAGGAATATGATTATGACGAAGATAACACCGCTGAGTTGGAAATATTTTCATCAAGGAGTGCATTTGAAACTGAACAGCTACCCAAATAACTTGCATTCGCCTCGAGCATAACGGAAATAATCAACAGAAAGTTACCTAGTAGTCTATCAGAGACAACATTTAGCAAAGCAATGAACAATTATTTCTTCCCTGATAACGTGGAATGCTAGGGAAGCGTTCTCTCGGGTGTTCTACTTCAAACGCGATGGGTACCGATTAACCGTTCTGGAGGAAGTGGGCGAGTATAGACGACGTCATCTCGATTTCGCAACCTTTCCTGCCATTTTCTAACCCCCCCCCCCTCACTCTGAGAACGAAAATCCACGCGGGTCGAACAAATTTGGTCGGTCACGACGATTTACGCTTACAGGGGAGTGTGTGTGCGGGGAGAAACAATGTATTAGGAGTATAAGTGACGTCCTGCAAGAAGTTAAGACTAAATTCACGTACAAAAATGTGTAAAAAGGAAGATGCCGAGAGAAGTCATATAGCGACAGCAAAATATTGAGGGACAATATACGGGGATGAACAGGATAGCGAATAGGGAGGAAATCGGTCTCTTACTTTACTAGTACAAAAGCAGCCACAGGAGGCAAACTAACTGAACCAACCCCGGCAGTTGTCGATGGAGCGCTGACTGCAATTGGGATGTTAATTAAGTCACCCAACAGTCTGAGCAGCAGATCCGGAGAGATGAGACTTGGTTGTTCGATTAACCAAGCGTAGAATATGTGGAGCAAATTCACTTGTAGACGAATAACACTCCATGCACGATGATTCTGAAAAAGGAAACAAAATAGGTACGTGTGTTACGAAGATTCACCTCTTCACCCCAAAACGAAACAGTTATAACTAAAGCAGACGTTTGTCACATTTTTCTGATTCAGTTCCAACTGAAAACTGGATATCTACAACATACCTATCTTGTCTCCCAGCTACGACAGTTCAGTTTGGATCAGGTGAACATGACTGTACAAGTCCGATTAAAGGAGTCAGTATGCTCCCTGCAAACCGCTTTGTTTTGGGACAACCAATCAGAACAACAGAAGACGAACGTAGGTGATTGGCCGGAGCCAATAACCAAACAAAATGTTTGACAGCAATCCAATCCACCGATCGTTAGATATCTGCATTCCCTTGATCCCTCTATTTCCTATAAAGAACCATGATTTTGCACAATAAACGAATTCCTAAACTCTTCCAGCTGTTCTATTTCACTAAATGTGGAATTCCTATCCGGACGAGAAATGTTAGCGGAAGACAATCTCTTGAGAATCCAGTACCGAGTCAAGTCCCGTGCGGCTACAACAATAACATATGAAGCGCCTCGCAGAAATCATTAGAAAAAAATCAACCCGATCAGTGGGTCAGGTCAATCTCAGCTTGATGACTGAGTGCTTGCTGCAATGATTTGGAATAGACGTGTCTTCCTCGGTTTGTTCATCCCGCTGAGTCAACGCTCTTGCTGAAAGCTGCCATGTGTAACTTTAGCCTACGGAAGGATACTGCAAGTTCATGAATGAACCCATGAGGAATTTTGTGAATGCTGTACAAAGTGGTATCTCCGGTAACACTTGAAATATTCCTTCCTCGAGGATTTCATGGTGCATCTCAAAAGACCCACATTCTGAGGCGGAAATCCGTAAGGAGATCCAAGCGTTGAGACGCCACAAAGCGCCGGGCTCCGATGGTCTTCCCCCAGCTCTATTTGAGGATAGTGGAACAAAGCTTGCTAGATAATTGGTGGCTTTGTTTTCTAAAGTGTGGCACACTAAGCAGGCACCCTCCTCGAGGGGGGGGGGGAGAACTATTGTCGTCCCCA